TGCAATTCAAAATCAGTTACCTGGGCCCTTCTAGATACTAGATATTTTTAGCAAGCTACCCCTCTCCACACACACATGCACAAAGATCGGTGTTAACTTTACACATCTCTGAACTGGCTCTGCCATGAACCAAAACATAATAAAGATGGGAGAAGCTATTGTGAAATCAAACCTCTGTCTCTCTCCACCCTTCCTTCGATCAAACCCTGGAAGTAGGGCTGACAAGGCAGCACCTGCTCCACAATCCAGCTGCTGCCATCTGGAAACCTTCAATGATCTCAATAAAATATAACATGGACCCTAAAATTCTGTAACTTGCTCCATCCACAAAGAATCTGACTGTAATAATGAAAAATCACGTTCTCCGGGGTAAGATAAACATTTTTATTATTTTCCAAGAAGGAACAGAGGATTATTGTCCTATATTATGCGACAGATCTGTTAAAAAATAAATAAATAAAAGAATGTGAATATACAGGCTCCGTCTAATAATCACTTTTATAAATTATTTAGGCTGACTCAAAACCAACTCTATACTGTCAAGCCATTGTGGGAATGTATGATATACAAAATTGGGTGCAACCAATACAAATCACATACAGTTTTTTACATCTAATTCCATAAACTCATCCAATTATGTTGAGATGTAAATGTACTAATGCTATTGTAAAACAATAATATTCAGCTTTTTCAGTTCAATGGTGGTAAGTTAAATAATTACAAGAACATTAAAAATAAAGTACATATAAAATATAAAACTCTATATCTTATCTTATATATTTGGGAGGTAGATTACCTTTTCTTTCTTTCCTTTCTCTCACCTTCTTTAAATACTGATGAGGAAACATAAGCATTTTCCATCTAAGTAAATTCCCTGAGAAGAGCCACTCTCTAAGGTTTGATTAAAACCAGCTGAAGAAACATGATAAGCCCTGTTTCCTAAAAGTAGAGAAAAGGTGTGTTTAAGCAGTCATATTTTAACTATTCCTTCACGCTTCACTCTGGAGAAATTCACTAAAATAAAGCAGTCAGGAGTTCCTAGATTCAAGCAAATTTTTTCCTTATCCCTTTGCTTTTCAAAGGTAAAACAGTTGATTTTTTTTTTTTAATGAGCATGTGAGAAAAGAATAAAATGTAAAAAGTGCTACATAATATCCTCCTGAAATAACTTTCCAAGGGTACCAAACTCACTGAGGTAGATTCCAGGTCTCCAAATGATGACAAATATCCCAAATTATGAACAAATGTACTGTAAATATTTTGGTGCTCTGTCCTTTTCCAATATCTTCTCTCTGCAAATATCTTGCCTGTAACTCTCCTGTGTGCTTTACTATGAGGTCATTATACCGAAATCTGTTGCTGTACCCAGATTCTCTTTACTTAAAAAACACGTTCATAATGGCATGGAAATGATCGTGATTAAATACTGTTTTTCATAGTTACTACACAGCTGTTCAAGGACCAGAAGCCCAGTGAGCTCTGAAATTCTTCACAAAGAGAAGGCACACCATAGCTAAAATGAGTGGAAATCCACTTCTGAGTCATGTATGATAATTTTATATAACATTTATATTTTTTGCAAGAAGCTTGAAGACATAATACCTGGCATGTAGTAGACATTAGTGGAGTTTGTTGAATTGAATGATTGACATCGTTATACTTTGATGTCATTGGTTTTACACACATGGACTGCTATTAATTAAACTCTATGAGGTGAAGAAAAGTTGTGGTTGGTTCCACCACCCTGTTCTACACTCAGATCACAGGCAACATGTTTGATTCCTAGAACACTATCGTTGAAGATTCTGGCTAACACATGAAGGATTATACAACAAATTATAACCATGAAAGAAAGTCACCAACAAGTTACATTTGACTTTGGCAAGTAAATTATTGGTGGAATAGCCAAGTTGTTATAGGTGCAAAAATTTGCCCAAACAGCCATTATGACAATCTAGGGAAGTTCATGGAAGTGTGCTTTTTATCAGGAATGCTCGTTTGAAAGTTGTTTCTTGGGACACTTGTCTGGCATCTAGCTGAAATGTGTGCATTGCATGGAGCCATCCTTGACAGGGTGGGTAGAGGGAACATGTATGTGGTCTATCTGTGCACTTCTAAGAAACAACAGGTTCTGACAGGCAGCTATGATGATCCAAAATGAAGAAGCATCAAAAGAAATAATAAATATTTTTTAATATAATTTTTCTTTATTGATTTTAGAGAGAGAGGAAGGGAGAGGGAGAGAGGTAGAGACATTGATGAGAAAGAACATCGACTGGCCACCTCCCTGCATGCCCCTTACTGAGGATCGGCCTATAGTCTGGGCATGTGCCCTGACCAGGAACTGAACCTGTGATCCCTTGATGCATGGGTTGACACTCGACCACTGAGCCACACTGGCCGGACACTAAATACTTACTGAGTATGTACTGTGTGCCGATGCTAAATCTTGTTCTAGGCACTAGAGAAAAAACAGTGAAAAGTGCAAGCAAAGCTCTTAAGACACTAATTCGGGGGGGGGGGGGAGCGATGAGGAACTAATAAACAAGTAAACCAATGTAAGCTGATTCAGGTAGTGAAAAGTATTTCAAAGAAAATAAAGCAAGGGGATCCAACAGAGAACTCTGAGGCAGAGTAGACTGGGTGGCTAAATAGAGCCTGGGAGGATGATATCTGGGTAGAGACCTATAGAACATTAAGGAGCTTACAATGGAGAGATCTGAGCACAGAGGATTCCAGACAGAAGAATAGCAAGTATAAGCTAGACTTATTCAAGAAAGTAAAGGAAATAGGCCAATGTGACTACAGCACACATAGCTATGGTGTATAGGAGCACCAGCAAGACTAGGACAAGATTGGATAGAACCTTCTAGGCTGCGGTTAGGATTAGGGGTTGTATCTAAAATGCAGTGAAGACTCACTGGAGAGTTTTAAGCAGAAGCATCACATGATCTTGCTACATTTCTAAAAGATCATTCAGCTGTTGCTTAGAGAATGTTTTGTTTGAGGGCTGTGGAGGAGAGACCAACTGAAGACTTTGGTAGTAGTTCAGGTGAGAGAGGGCACAGGCTCTTGGACCATGGTTATAGCAATGGAGCGGAGGACAAGTGGGTGAATTGGGTGTATATTTTTGAGGAGGAGACAACATTAATTGGATGTGGGGGTAAAATAAAGGAACAAAATTAATTGCTATGTTGTACACATGAAATTAATATAGTGTTGCATGTTAACTGTCATTGGAAAATAAATTAATTTTTTTTAATGAGAGAGACAAAACAAGGATGACTTCTACATTTTACTTGAGTAACCAGGTGGAACAATTTGAAGAGGAACAGGTTTGGAGGGGGTGCTTTTGAGATGTCTGTGAAACATAATAATAGTATCTACCATGTAGAAAAAAGAATATATGCAAAACAGATCAGTACCTAGCACACTGTACTTGTTCACTAAATATTAACTATTAAAATTACCCTTCAAGTGGAGTTGCAAGGGTATTGAGGACACAGAAGGGTTCTGTGAGCGATCGGGACACAGATATAAATATGGGGGTTTTGTATAATTCAGTGCTGCTCAAACCATTTTTGGTGAAGGGCTTTTATTTTGAATGCATCAAGGACCAATACTTTTGTAAAATTCGACAAAAATGAATTAATTTACAAACAAAATAAAATTTACCAAGTACAAGTGACTAATGTGCTTCGAAGCCAAGGCAATGTCAAATCGCTATAAAAGTTTCTATATCTTACTCTCAATTTCTGTATTTATCTCTCATTACAGACCAATAAAGGACAATTTGCCGACCAACACCAGGGCAGGAAATACACTTTGAAGAACACTAGAGAAAGGAGGCCCTGAGCAAACCCTGAGACATATTTAACTCACTGGGGGGAGGGGGGTGCAGAGAGGATGTTCACTAAAGGAGTCTGAAATAATCCCAGCACTGTTTGAATGCATGAGCTCACAAGCAAAGGAAAATCATGTATATTTACGAGTGATCTGTTTTAAATAGGTAAAAGAAAAAAGCCTAATCATTCCTGCCAGGAACTCACTCTTCTTCCCACAGATGACACATCTGAAGAGAGACACCAGCTTCCGTAATTCATCCTCGCAAACACTTCAATCTAATCATGGGAGATGCAATCTAGTGCTCAGGATGCATTAAGTATCCAAAGCGCCTTCACTACCAAGCTAGGCTCCGCTTGTGAATAGAACAATTATCAGACCTGATAGCTCCTGAGCTGTGCCTGTCCCTGAAGGATGCTCCAGGCCCCAAGCATCAACCTCTCTGTCAATCATTCAAGACTCTTGCCTTGCCGTGGCTCTCTCACTCAAAACTCTGGCCCCGGTGGTCCAGACGCCGGAAACCAACATATGCCCCAGATCAGAGGGCACCTGAAATAATTCTTAGGGTAAATGGTCAGATCTCTGGGTAAGGACGTCAACAAAGTAAAAACTCTTCATAGAGTCTAGCCTTTGGTAAGCAAGACTTGCTTAACTTCCCAGGTTCTTTACCCTCCTGCAAAACACCGCCCCCGCCCCCGCCCCCAGACTGCTTCCACCGGGACCCCGCTGCAGCAGTGCTGTTTTGTCCCTTAAAGACCTGCTGTGGTTACCGGCATCCTCCTAAAACACAGGATAAATAACTCCGGCTGCGGGTGAACTTGAAGTTGGAGGAGCCTGGGCGCCAGAGCGTCTAATTACAGGGAGTCTCGCAGGTTTCCGAGGCTCCTGCGAAGCTCCGGACGCGTCTCCGGAGCCCGAAGCCCCACTGGAGACCCTCCGCAGCGTGGGCGCGGGACCAACGCGAGCGCGCGGGGCCCTGACCTCCGGGGGGGGGGGGCAGGGCTGTGACTCACGCGGCCCCGCGAGGGGGAACGAAGAGGCACCGCGGACCCAGCCTGCGGAGGGGCTGAGCCGGCTCGCGAGACGCATGCGCGCTGCCAAGCGGCTCCCCTCCCTCCCCGCCCACCGCTCCCTCCTCCCTCGCGCCTCCCCTGCATCCTCGCCTCTCTCCCTCTCTCCTCGCCCGCTGGGTGCTGAAGTTGGACGGATGGCAGCAAACAGGCTCCGCTAGAGGACCAAGCAGCCCAGCCTCGCGCCCCCGGATCTACCTGTGCGCTGCCCACACCTCCAGGCTCCTGGGTAAGATGTTGCCTCCGAAACCCAGCCGTGCTAAGTAAATGACAGCAAAATGTCTGCTTTGCACCAATGGATGAATTTTTTTAAAGGTGGTGGGGGAGGGAAACGAAGGCAGGAGGGGGCGGAGAGTGCAACTGCCGCTGCCCCGGTGGGGGCGGCTGCTGCGCGGGGGTCTCCGGGCTGGGAGCGGGGGCCGCGCCTCCGGGCTGGGAAGTTGAATCCCGCGTTGCTGCCTCGGCGCGGTCCGCTCGCCGCCTCCCGGGTGCTGCGGGCGGCGAGGCGAGTGTCCTGCCCGCCCAGGGGACCCTCGCTCGGTCCCTGGAGGAGAGCTACCACCTTCGGGCAGCCCGCAGGGAGGGCCGGGCGAGGACGGCGGAGACCCCGAGGGGGCGCGAGGTCCTGCGGGATTTTTCTGGTTGGTTGTTAGAAAACCGAATGTGAAATTAACAGTGTCCAATCGACCGAACACCTCGGGCGGTATTTTTTCCTTTCTTCACCTTGGGGAAAATGCACTATTCAGGTGGGGAAGGTGTAAAAACCGGATTGCAAAAACGCATACCTTGAGCATCTGAGATATCCGTGTGTGTAGGGGGTGGGGGTCTCTTTTGTTCCTTCCCCTCCTCTTAGTCGTAGCAGAAGAGCTCCTGTGTGCTTGGCTTGGGTAGATGCCCACCCGCCGAGGGGACGAGGAGCAGGAACGCCCACCCAGCCCCTGGCCGCTGCCCGGGTGGGTGTACCCGAGGCTCCCTTGCTGTGGGTGATGAGGATTCTTTTCATTATCCACGGATCACAGGTTAATAGCTGCCTCCTCGCCAGCATCCCTCTTCCTCTCCATGTGCTGCGGCAGAGGCTGGGCGCAGACACTCGGCGGTTTCCTCCCCTTCTTGCTACCTCCCAGTCTCCGTGGAAAATGTCGGAGGGCTTGAGGATGGCGGAGGGACAGAGCTGGCCTTGGAAACGCGGAGGCTGAGATGCCCGTCGCTGGCCGGAGGCTGCTGACCGAGCGTCCCGGGCAGCCCGCGCCATCCTCCGGAGTCCCCGGGCTCCCGGAGGAGAGCAGGGGTCGCCTTGCCAAAGAGGATGCCTTCCCTGCGGGCACCCACTCTGCGCCTCCGCTTGCATCCGGAGCCCGGACGCCCTCTCACCAGGGGCAGTCAGACGCTGGGCAAGGCTCCTGGCATAGTTTTCCTAACCTCCATGACCCTTTGATAAAAGCTTCCTTTTTAAGAGCCGCTGGAAGGTTTGTCAAGAGAACTTTGCAAGCTTCCCATAGATGTTTCATTTTTTTAAAAAATTGTTTTACAGCGAGATTATTCCCACCATGGGATAACTCTCGCAGATAAGAAAAAGAAATCGTATAGTTTGGTTCCCGTCTAGAATGAGCATTTCTGACCCTGGATGTCCTCTGCATTTCCGGCGTTCATTCATCCTGGTTTTCCCGGGTGATGAACCATTCTGAAAATCAACGGGAGAAATGAGAAACAGTTTTTACCCTTGTAATGGAAAATAATGTTTTCCTCCTGGTTTCATAGCTGCTAGACACTATGTATATTAATTCTGAAAGCTCTGAAACACTTTAAGTAAATATTTGTTTCTGAAGTTCTTTGTAGTACTCGTAGCAGTGATCCATGCAGTATACATTATAGCACTAAAATATAATGAAACTGTGATTTGTACTCATTAATTCAAATGAATGAACGGTTTGACCTTCTCCAGTTAAGTTACTATTATTAAGCTATTTCTTCTGTTAGCGTGAACTAAAACAGTAATTAGCACACTTGTGGGAGAGTAGATTCATTCACTATTTTTATAATCTTAAAAACTATACTGGGAGAAACTATGGAAGGGTACTTTATTTGCGATTTTTGGAGAAGAGAAAACAAAAGCAAGTTATTAATATTACAAAGTAATTGGATGGTATAATTTATTAAAGAAGATGAATCTCTACGGCAGTGATACCTGATCTCAGAACCATGGACACTTACCCTTCTTCTTGAATTTGTAGTCTGAAACATTACAAAACCACTTGATTTGCAGAACAAAAAACATAAGACTGTGCCAATTTCTACCCTTTTTGCTCCAGTTCCTCAGCTTTTCCTTGGTATTTAGTCCCCATGGAATGGAATTAACAAGGAGTATTCATTTGACCTTATTGTATCAGCCAAAGCTAAATCTGAATCTATAAAAATTCTGGTTGACTCATAGACTAAAAAGTAAGAAAGCATTTACCTGGTAATCCAGTTGTAGAGACAGTGACCTTAGTATTAGAATTCAGTTTGCTGAAAGACATGGGCTTTTCTAGAAAAGTAGATGGTGGACATGGTCACAGAAATATGGAGCCAAAGGGGATGGGATCCTTCCAACTGCCTTTCTGCTGAGAATCCTTTTTCTGATTATCCAGCTCTATTTACCTCACCATGAAGATTACCACCACCCAGAAGTGCAGATGCAAGGACCACTGTATACCCAGTGGATAAGAATGACACTATATGATGTTGAAAAGCATTTATTTCATCGTATTACTATAGTTTCAGTATGACTGCATTTACAGGCTTCAAATTGTATGACATTTCTGGAGGGATGTCTGGGATCCTAAGAAATACAAGTTCTTATGGAAAGCTTAAAAAGAGAAAACAGTCTTTTGATGTAGATAGCCAGAACTTTTAGTTCAACATTGAGGGGATACTTTCACCTTCCCCATCTCTGTCCATCTCCACTTATTCCTCAAAGACTTTCCTAATATTCAAAGAAATTCATTTAGAGTGTTGTTCTTGCCGTGTGCCAACGCCTAGCACATTACCTAGCAAAGGTAGTTGTTAAATAAGTATTTCTTAAATGAATAAATTTTGTGCAATTGATATGGCTCACAAAAGTTTTCCAAGTTTGGGATTACATTTTTTTTTAAAAAGAATGATCATGCTTATTACCAAACACAAGTTTGAGATAGTGGAGATCATGTTCACCATCCTACATCTTTTGAGGAAGCAGTTTCTAGAATTATCACTTTGTGAATATGCATGCTTTTAATATAACATTTATATCATTGATTTGTTTCCAAATTGTAAAAACAGTATATACTCATTTTAGATCCCCCAAACAGATTAAGTATTGTATAAAACTGAAAGTTTAAGTTACCTGTTGGGAGGCCTGGCTGGTCCTGGCTCATCCATTTTATAGCTTTGTCACCAAGATCTAATGAGTCTCAGTTTCCTTAGGTATACAATAGAGATAAAGACACACCTTCTAACATGTGTCTAGCATGGACTGAGTCCTTATAATTAACCCAATGTCTCAAGAACTGCTATTGAATATACTGGGTAGTTTACCACCAGTACATTTTCTATGCATAAATGGACACACACACACACACACACACACACACACACACCTGCTATATTTTTAAGAGTTAAAATCACATTGTAGAACTTTATACTTGCTTCTTTAAAAATTAACAATACTTTGCTGGTGTATCCCAAGAAATTTAAATTGGTATTTTTCATACAATTTAGTGACTGCAAAATAACTCATCTTGTGGATGTCTTGATTTATTTATACACTCTTCTTTTTGAATTTTTATACTCCAGTATTTTCCTGTTTTAACCAATGTACATCCGTATGCCTAGGTTTTGTCTTCATATCTGTATAGCAATGTTTTCCCTTTGGGCCTGATGCTTAGAACATCTAATACTTACCAATATGATATCATCTTTTTAAAAACCTTTGTTAACTCGATAGGTGAAAATTATATTTTTCATAATTTTATTTCTTTGGTTACTAATAACGCTGATTAAATTTTTGACATGCTTACAAGAAAAAAAATTGTCTTGTCTTTAAGTATAGCTTGTTCAAGTCTTTTGCCCATTTTTACATTGGTATCCTGGTCCATTTTTCTTATCTTGGGTGGTAATATTAATTTCTTAAAAAAGGCAAAAGAAAACAAAGGAAATGCTTAGTGACAAAGAAGACTTGTGACAAAGACAGAATTCGTTGTGGCTGAACCAGACTGCAGCTCCGATGGAGTACAGCAGGCTGGACATGGATCAACCATGGGATTGTGGCTGCTGTGGTGTCCAGAACACACGGCCACCTGCCACCAGGCCTGGGCTTTCCCATGTGCACAGTACCTTCAGAAGCCCAGAATCACTTCATGGTTGGGGTCTGTCATCTTTCTGCTCAGGTCCTTTACTGTGAGAGTTTGTACATGAGCAGTTCCCAGATTTTCATGGACTGTTTCTGCCAGTTGCCAATGTTATAGGCCTTTGGAGTTTCCTTAAAATAAATGAAACCGAAAGGAAACATGGGAGTAGATGGACGTCCCATGGAGCATGAATTGAAATTTCTTATCAGAATGAAATCCATCACATTTAATTATAAAACCGTGTCAGATTAGCATCATATCTCCAATTTTAAGCTGTAGTGAAATTTAAATATTTAGAAGGCAAGAATCTAATCTAGTCTCTTAATAGTGCCTCATATGATTCAGTACTCTTGTAAACGCCTGGTTTTGACACTTTTAATTCCACCACTTTTGACAAATTTGGTTTCAAACACTTAAATATTTAGCTTGAAAACATTATTAAAGTCCCTTGGATATTAAACTACCTAGAAAGAGTAAAGTTGTAGAATTATTGCAAGTTTCAGTTTATCCAATATGGTAAAATGCTCAGTAATTCAGAATTAACAAGCCTGGGATTGACAGTAAATGGGAGGCCCCCGGAGGAGAAGCAGTGAGTGGTGGGGGAACCCAAAATCTCATTTCAAATAGAACTGAGTTTGAATTCTTGCTCTGCTGTTCCCTAGATGTGCAGGCTTTCTTATTGACTTATATAAATGCTTCATACTTGAAATTCTAGCCTGTGTAATAAACATCTAAAATCTCTCCAGATTTCTTAAACTTTGTGTTTGAGATTAAAAAAAAAAAACAACTCTGTGTCAATAAACGTAATTTTACTATAGCCCATGTGTTTCACAAAACAAATATTTACTTCCTTGTATTAGATCAC